TTAAGTGGAGAAATGGATGGGTTCGTGTGATGGTAACTTCCCTCCTCTCTCTTTGTGGAGATTAAGAGAGCAGCAGATTGTCTTAATAGTCTTTAAATCTATATGTAGTCAGAAGAAGTTCAGATTGAGCAGTCAGGCATCCGCATCAACTTTACATTTTTGTCATCCGAAGGAGAAATTAATCAAGGTTTTGTTCCAAAGGTCATAGCTTAAACTCTCTCTCTCTCTCCTCCTGCCCTCCCTCCTTTTATCTTTAAGTTTGAGGGTACACTAACACATGTATAAATGCTTTCCTGTGCTCAATGAATTAGCATACCTCAAGCAAAAGAAAATGACAAGATACAATTGCATGTGCTGGCAAAACCACTATATGCAGGCATTCAAAGCACAATTTATCCAGTTCCAGTTGTTATAGGTCAAGGTCAGTCTTCTTCAATTGTCATTTGGGGCTAAATTCATGTTTCATTTACAGGTCCAGTTTAGTCTGCAGTTGTCCGAGAAAGAGAGAATTGATAGGGCTAATATTGTACTTCCTATTGAGCACCAAGGTAGAAATATGGATAGATTATAATTATGTGCTTGAATTTTAGCTTTTGTTTGCTTTCTATTTGGTGGCTTTTTTACTAGAATCTCTCTTTTTCTTTGGATTGACTTTTGCTTGCTTTAGGTAATGGTAAACCCATGCAAATTTACGATGGCGGAAGATCTCTGGCGGATATCAAACATGAGACGTCAGTTGCTGCAACAGAAAAAGTCTAGACAAGTGAGGACTCTGGCAGGGGTGAGATTATTTGTTTCCGTGAATCAGATGATGAGATCCCAAATTCTGACGAGGACCCACCCTCTTAATTTGCAACTTTGAATTCATGCCTGGCATTGTAAATTGATATGTTTTGTTTTCTCTTTCTGTAACCGTGAATGAGTTAAATCTCTTAGGTATTACCATCTAAAAGTTGTATTTTGCTTTCAAAAAATGTATAAATCTTTTACTAGTTATAATTATTGTGTTAAACATGATAAGTTACATTTAGGTTCTTTATGGTTGATGCCATTGTTATTTGCTTTTTACTCTTTTAGTAGAAAGTACAAAGCAAAAATTAAAATATGAGTTGAAAAAATGAGAAATAGAAAAGAAAAAAAAAACAAAAAATAAAAGCATTGAGCAACACGAGGACCTGGTGTCGCTCTTTCCTTTTAACTTAATTATTTACTCTTCATTGCACTACATTTTAGCTTATGAGAGTGGAAGAACTCACAAATATATATATATATATATATATATATAATTCAAATTATATCTATCTTAAGACAATGTTGAATTAGACAGAATAAAAAATTATTAATATCTTCACCTCCGCAGACTATATAGAAACTTAAAACTGAATTCAATTATGCTATATAGTTTCCAATCATTTTGAGTTAAAATCTGTTAATACTTCGTAAGGAACTTTGTTCAATCATATTCAAAGCAATTTCAAACTTTTGTCATCTGAAAAACTATCAATTCAAGCATCCAAGATACTGAACAGGTTATCCAAACAGTGTGATCCACCAAATTTAGCTCTTAACCATTGTTATTCAACTCTTTCTTGAAATTGAAAAAAAAAAATTAAAAGGCAAACAACCGCAGTGCACTGTTCTTTTCAATTTCTGTAAACCACTGGCCAGACCCATTGAACCTGCATTATTGTGCATGGAGGGACCGTGTATAAGGGGATATATAGCAGAGAAAAAAAGGTGAACAAGAACATTATCATTCTTTTGTCAGACATTATCTTTTTCTTCTTTTCACAGCAGGTTTCACATCAGTTGCTAAAGCACATTATCATTTTAACACCAGAATTTTATGTATATATAATCATGATTATAAAAACTTCTTTTCTAAAGATGAAATTGCTCTCAATCAGATTTTGGAGACCTTCAGGGTGTTTTTTTTTTTTTTTTAATGTACGTAGGTCGAGTTTCCTAATCCAGATCCAAATCCAATGAACTTTGTGGATAGATCTCAACGCATTGGGCAATTAATCATATTTCAGAACAGGAAGTGTTAAGTGGTGCAAGTCTGAAATGAAAATTTATATATATTTTTTACTATCTTTACAAATTTTCAAACTCGAGTTCACGATGCAATAATCAGGTTCAGAAAATGATGTTTGAAACTAATTGAAAGGACCTTTCTTTTCATCACTCAGCCCCCCAACCCTCCAAAGAAAAAAAAAAAAGGAAAAGGATAAGAAAAGAGAAAACCTCCCAAGATTCCCTGTCCCTACGTTGAAGTTTGAACCATTAGAAACTCAAAATCAAGAGACAATCGGAGCTGTTTAGAAGATGAGATCGGGAATATGAGGTTGCAAGATTTATTCCTATGTAATTTTGCCTCTTCTCATGTCAGTCGAACTCGCAATGAAAAAATTTAAGGTTGGTTGGTTTATCTTTAAGTACCCAATTTTCCACGTGGGATATCTCTACTTTTTTTTTTCGAGTTTCAGATTCTTATAGTTCCTTCTCTTGGTGTTTTCTCACATGGCAAGTGGCAAAAGATGGAAAAAGAGATGTATATAATGATAAAGCAAAAGAAAAATTTAGAAAAAGGTTGGAGCCTAAGCTACAATCCTTTGGATGATCAGCTCAGCTGTCATTCTCATTTTGGATTGTTGGGCTATCAATTCAGTGTGTGCAAAAAATAAAAAATAAATCTAATTATCCACATGCAATAGCTTTTTATTGGGGAAAAAGGTGTATATATATATATATATAGAGAGAGAGAGAGAGACCTAGCTAGATAGTTTGAAAAAGTCAACTTAAAAGAAGTTGTGTCCTTTAGAGCGATAAGTACTTTTTTTTTTATCTTTTGTATGTCCTGCACTCATGGAATGTATATGAATCAAAATACTTTTTGTTTGAGCCGAAAATGGTTTGGGGTAGTCACTTGTCAGAGAAGATAGCATGGGTTAATAACAAAAGCTGGAGGTTATTTCGGTATTTGTACATCGACACTCACATTAATCTTTACTCTATAAAAGAAAAAAGAAAAAGGAGAAAAAAAATGAGTTGCTTGATCTTACCTATTCTAAGGCTTTTATACTTGGAATGACGTGGCTGATGGCGTCTGACCCGGAATATATCCTGCTGACGTGGACCGGCAACAAAATCGCATGTTAGCATGTTCACATGAAGCACGTGAGTTATCAACATAGTAATCCACCTCATCAACATGATGGGCATGCATCCAAGAATATCAACTGCACATCCCTTCTTTGACAATTTGGACACGTCATGTCGATGTAAAAACAAAATTGCACTAAATTGATCTAAGGAAAGATAATACCCCTGGATACTTGAGGAATTCCTTAAAATGACTATTTTACTCTTAAGTTCTATTATATCTACATCAATTTTGTTTAGAAATTAATAAATTTAAAAATACTTTAGTTAGAGAAATAAGATTAAGAAATATTTTAATTTGGAAAAAAAAAATTTTGTTACTCTTATAAAAAAATTTAGCCATTTTTTCTTTCATTGGTCAATTTTTATTTTTTTAATTTTTTCGCACATATATAGTCTCACTTATATTTTTATTATGAAGACATTTCACCTATGATTAATTTATTTTACTAAATATTACAACTATCCAATCATAATAAAAAATTATTTAGAAATTCACCCATGAAATCTCAATCTCACAAATAAAAATTTTGAAAATCTATTATAATATATAAGTGGAGGTCAAGACTTAAACCTAAACTTGTTAAGCATTTTTTATAGGATAAAATCATAAGACATTCAAGTTAAAACGAATAATACCTTACAAGTTCAGTACGAAACTCCACAAATAATATCAAAGTGATCACCAATTAGACGAAAGATAAGTGTTACACCGTGAGAATTATCATTAAAATCTTATAAAAACTAAGTACTACATAGCAAGAATCATCTAATTCTGTGATTCTATATATGCAGTTTTGTGTTTTATGTTAAATTTGATGTTAACAAAATCCTGCAAGAGCTAAGTGTTACACATTAAGAATCATCTAGTTTTATGATTTTATATGTGCAATTCTGTATTTTATGTTAAACTAAAAGTTTGTGACATACCAATTACATATTAAAGATTATGAGAATCTACTATAACATATAAATAAAAGTTTAAATCTAAACTTGTAAGGTATATTTTACGGGATAAAATCGTTAAATTTTTAAATTAAAATAGATAATATCTTACAAGTTGAGTGTAAATCTCCACACTACTAATAAAAAATATAGACTCCATACTAAATCTTTCATAATTTTAAATTATAAATAAATAATTAATTATAATACAATAATTATAAATGATATGTGCCCTTTTATTATTTAGTATTTAACAATATTTTATAAAATTTCAAAACTATATATCTTGTCCTCAAATCCCAATATATTTTCTTAAAATTATGACTTTTAAAAAGTCACACTCCTTTACTATTTATTTATTAAATTTATGGGAAAGCAAAATTCAAGAGAGGGAGAACTAAATTTATTTATTTATTTTACAATGAGTTGTGTTAAATTGTTCGAAATTTGTAGTGAAAAACTAAAAAGAATGATAATGTATATAAAAATCATAAATTTAAAAATTTTTGTTTTATTGGTGGTACTAATATTAATTTTCAATTCTTTATATTTTCTTACAAAACTCACCGTCACAACAGCCGGGGCCAGCTATTTAATTGTCTATTAGAAATTAGAAAAAAAAAAAGGAATAAAGAAAATATAGAATTTGATTTGTTGGTATTTGGCAACCCCTTCCAATTCACTTGGGAAAAAAAAAACAGAAAAAGGAAAAAACAAAGTCCACCTGTCTCAGAGTAGTAGCGGAGCAGATTATTGTTCCTTTTTGATGTTTTAACTAACTGCACTGAGAAAGAGAGAGAGGGCCGGCTTTTTCTGCATAAAACTCTCTTCACGTGTTTTGGTCTTTTGGTCTTTATCTTTGCCGCTGACTGATTCCTTCAATTCTCACTTGTCAATTTTTATTTCATTTTTATTCCAAACCAAATCCTTCCCTGACAACCCTTTCCAGACACGCTTGATTTTTGCATTTTGGGTGCTTCTTTTCTTGCCCCTTTTGTCTCTCTCTTTTTTTGACCCCTTAAATTTCTGCATTCTTTTCCTTTTCCATGTCATTACTTGAATGTAGTTTCCAATGTTTTAATGCATATTTTCTGATAATAATAAATTCACAATCTTCCCGTTTTGCATCATTTTCATTTTTGCTTTGAAAAAGTTTCCAAGGAAATGGCTGTAGAACTTTGCTCAGAGAACTCTAGTACGAGTCCAAGGATTTCATTTTCTCATGATCTTTGCCATTTTGATGTTGTGCCTGTTGAGCCACGCCCTCTTAGATCAAAATCTTCAGGCTTAAATTCAAGCATTGATTTCGATTTCTGTGTTCGTGAATGCTTTCACCAAGAATCATCATCTGCTGATGAGCTTTTCTCTGATGGGAAGATGCTTCCTAAGGAGATCAAGAAAAAGAATGTCTCCGCTAAACAAACTGATCAATCTTCACCTCCACTGCCATTGCCACGATCAAATTCTGTTCCTGACGATGCTAATATTAATGAAAATTCGAAGAAAGAAAGCTCGAAAGAGAACAAGATTATGCGGGATGAAGCAGATGAGAAGCAAAGTTCCAAGTCATTTTGGGGTTTCAAGAGGAGTAGCAGCTTGAATTGTGGAAGTAGATATGGGAGAAGCTTGTGTCCTTTGCCGCTTTTGTCAAGAAGCAATTCAACTGGCTCTACGCCAAACGTTAAACAAGCTTCGGTTTCGAAAGTTTCCCATAACCATAAGCAGAATGCACAGAAACATGCTACTAGTTTCACTTCCTCCTATAATTCTTCAACAAGTTATCTGAAGCCTCCATTGAGGAAGAGTTATAAGCCCTCTGGTAATGGTGCTCAAGTTAATCCTGTTCTGAATGTTCCTTCCGGGAATCTGTTTGGTTTAGGTTCAATCTTCTTCAATGGCAAAGATAAGAACCACAAGAAGAAATGATTGATAATTCACTCTCTAATCATAAGTTTGGTCCTTTTTTTTCCTATTCAAATTTCTGTTTGTTAATTTCCATGTGAGTAGGAGAATCGAATGTAGTATGGATAAGGGAAAAAAAGCAAAGCCATTGGCCTTAGGAAGACAAAAGAAGATAGAAATGTCAATGGATGGAGGGGCAGGGAACGAATGATACAATTCAAGGCACATGTTTTAGAAAAACAAAATGACAGGTAACCGTTGTTTTTACGGTTGTCACATGTTGTTTTATATTTTTCTTATTCACTTCTTAGTGTTATTTTCTCTGGCATAGATTTTCAGATGTCATTTTCTTTCTCTTTATAGGAAGTGTAAGGTTGTTGGTGACAGGTATCCTGGAATGTTTCTTGATTTTCTGTTTCTAGGAGAAAATTATTTGGTTGGTTTCTGATTGTTCTTGTTTGGATTAAGAGATTGTGACAAATTAGTTGCTGTAATTAGTGAAATTCATCAAGAATAATCTAAAGAAATGAAAGCTTCCCACTCTCATTTTACTACTTGCTTTCCATTGGCAAATTCAATTTATGTTCCACCCTAAATGAGAAGGGGAGCTAGTTATCCAGAACAAATTCCATAATTAAGTATCACAAACTTTGATATAAATTGCAAAAGATGATTTTAACATCAAGCTGAACAGAACTGGACTTGAATTCCCTTTAGCCCCAATTTTGTTCCCCCTCTTCAAAGTGATATCAGAGTTGCTATGACTGAAGAAAGATAACAAGAATAAAGGGATTTTAATGTAATGACACAATGCTTGCTTGCAAATAAGATAGCAGAGAGCACGTGCTATAACTTATCATGGAGATTGATTGCCCTCAGAGATGATGTGAAGAATGGTCTATAGCAAAGAAAAAAAAAAAAAGATGCCATGAATTGTACTTTAGTAGTTGTTTTTTTCTAATTCTTCTAGATTCTAGTTCATTCATGTTTCATGCACTATTGATTTCATTAGTGTTTAAGGGCTTTGAAATGGCTGTTTGTCAGGCAAATTTTGAGCATAATTTAAAAATATTGCTTCCTTTTTGCTTAAGGAATAATTCTGGTTTTTGTTATAACTGTCCAATGGATAATATTATATATCAGGATTTCTTTGAAAGGTATCTTGCAAAGTTAGCTTTTTCAGACATGAATAGTTCTGTTGTAATTTATCGGTCTCATCTATCCAGTCATGAAAATTATAATACAGCAATATTAGGCTTTGGTCTTGGCAAATCAAATCATTGATCAATGTTTTGTTCTCTGGAAAACTTTTGTCACAATCTGTGTTCTTCGCATTTTGTTTCAGCTTTCTAGTTCTAAGAAACCAAAACCATATTGAAAGGTACACCTAAGCTTGCCTTTCGTTAGTTGGCATTACTTTGGATTGGCCTTTGTCACCTTATGATATTAATAATTGATGAGCTTATGTCAGTTTCATTGAATATCATAGCAACTATTTAGGTATTTCTAGCTTGGATGTTGAGAGAGATCTGCAAAATTTGGAGCTTGATTAAATCTCAAAACTGAATAAATTGATGGCTCCCTTTTTTTGGTTGGTGAGAAAATAAAATCTTTGCCAACTAAACTGTGCTCAACTTAATTTTGTTGATAAGAAAAGTAAAGGAACAGACGGAACAAATAGACAATTTCTCCCTTTAATTATAGCTAGTTTTATTATGGTAAGTCCCACTGCAATCACTCATGTTCATTCTTTCATTCATTTATAATTTATGGTAGCCTTATATAAACTCAACTGTACATCAATCGTGTATTAGGGGAAAATTTTGCAATCCCTAGTAATGAACCATGTTTTGGGTATATAGGAGGAAAATAATTAGATCATGATTAGATTTCTCGATGCAATTTTCTCAAGGATTTTTGTCGTAAACGTCTAACCTCAATGACAAAACTTGTCTTGGTGAATACTTTGAATTACACCTCCAACACCACTCATTGAGAAAGTGTTTTGTTCGCGTATCTAGTAATATAAAATTTGATATAATATCACGATAAGCAAAAATATATCTAAAAGTAAAATAATTTAAATTTTTAATAATAATTTTATATAAATTTTACAAAATAAAAAATATATTTTATTTTTTTTATTGACACAAATTTTAATATATAATTTTTATGTAAAATATAATATAAATACATAAATATTTCATATGATATAAATATAAGAATTATTATATCTATTTATTAAATCATAATGACATGGAATAGAAAAATTACTTAACAAATGACAAAAGTCTTAGGGAACCATTTTCGTACAGAGACGGTGGGTTATCTAATGCCGAGGTCTGGTTGTTATGGCATTTTTTTAGAAGGTTTTAAATTGTATATTTTTACTATGAAAGTGACTTTCCATGAAAGGAACTCCCATTTGTTCTCTCTTTTACTCTCTTTTACTACCTGCTCACTACATACTGACTTGACTGGATAGTCAAGCCGGAACCAGGTTCCGACTTCTTTCAAAGTGTTTGTCTTGCATGTACAGGGCTGAAGTCTGATGTTCGCCTTCCACTGAAATTTTAGCATCAAAACTGATCCTTCCTAGAGGAAGTATTGCAGTGTGCTGGTGACATTGAACATGAAGGCCAATTATCAAGGTGATCTTCTCTTTCGTTATATGAAATTACTTTATTTGATTAATAATTATTAATTTATATGATTTAACAGTCATTGTGTTTAATATTATTAAAAATTAAATATTATTTTATTTAAAAGTACAAAAGTAATTATTCTTATTATAATAATTATACAAGTTAGTAATTTAAATATTGTTTAGAAATAATAATTCATAAAATAAAGTAATATTTTTTATAACAAATATAATTAACTTATTAAATATATTTATTAAATAAATAATTTTTAAATATAAATTACGTAAAAAATTTTTGAATTAGAAAATAAAGCTAATCTATTAAAATTATAATAAAAAATAAAAATTATATTATATATAAAACATTAGAAAAAATAAAAAATATACAAAATATTTTGGAACTATTATTAATAAATATTAGTTTGAAAATAAAATTTTATAATATAAAATAATTATAATTTTAAGAGGAATCAAAATTTTAATTCACATATTAAATAGATAATATTTATTATTACTAATTTTATATATCACTTTACCTCGACGGTAAAAGTTTTTTATCTTTTTGAATTTGAATTAAATCAACTTCTAAAATAATAATTTAATCATTTTTAGTAATCTAAGATCATTGTCGCATAGGATCATAAAATGTTTACCAAACACAATGATTTAATCACTATGTACAAATCCCCATGATTTTTAGAATAATCACCTCATACGAAACACTACTTTATTTCAATAGATTCAAAGATGAGAAAGACATGTAAAAATAGGATAAAATTGTTTAATCTCGTCCATTTGATTTATCAAAATCAATGGTTAAAGATCCTTGTTATATATAGGAAGGAATCCACTTAGATTAGTGTAATTTTATATTTTTTGGACTTTTAGATCAAAATGACTTCATTTAAAAATATTATTTTGATTCAAATGAGTTATGATTTGATTCAAAAGTAAAAAAGTAATGTAAGAGTTACATTAGTGTAAATTAATTTCTCTCTCTACGTATGTATGACTAAAAGGATAAAAAAATGTCTATAATTTATAATTCAATAATCATTTAACCTCTTCATAAAGTCCATGATAAAATATTACAAATTTACAGTATGCCCAAAGAACAAAAGTTGATGGAATGTGAACATGTAAAATCAAAGCATTAAGTGGCGTTTGGTTTAGAGGAATCCATAACTTTTTCTCTAAAATCTTAATGGTAGGTATTTGATTCTATATTTAGTTTAAGGAATCTAATTACGGGAGAAAGTAACAATCTCTAACAATACCCAAAGTCTTAAAATAAAAAACCCACCTCTCATTATGGTATTCTAGGATGTCGAAAAAAAAGTTACCTTATTTCCAAATTTAACCTAAATAAAAAATTATGAAATAGCCATTATCCTTTTAAAAAGTATGTCTGAAAATTATTAGAACTCAGTTTTAGATTTTTTGTATAGAAAAAAAAATTATATTGTAATTAAGGCATTTGGCATGAAGAATTGCCTTAAATAATCATTTTTTATTTTTATAAATGAATTATTTAAGGCCTTTCTGTATAGAAAAAGTCTTAAATAATCCTTTTATATTTTAAGGTTTTGGATTATTATTTTTATAAAATGATTATTTAAGGCATTTTTGTATAAAAAATGCCTTAAATAATCATTTTATATTTTTATAAATAGATTATTTAAGGTCTTTTTTTACAAAAAAAATACCTTAAATAATCTTTTTATATTTTTATAAATGAATATTTAAGGCATTTTTATACAAAATATGCCTTAAATAATCCTTTTATATTTTAGGTTTTAGGGTTAATATTTTTATAAAAGGATTATATAAAGCTTTTTTGTACAAAAAATGCTTTAAATAATCTTTTTATATTGTTATAAATAGATTTTTTTTAAGTGTTTCTATACAAAAAATACCTTAAATAATTTTTTATATTTTTATAAATGAATTATTTAATACATTTTGTATAGAAAATACTTTAAATAATTTTTTTATAAAAATATAAAAGAATTATTTAAGATATTTTTTATACAAAAATATCTTAAATAATCTATTTATAAGAATATAAAATGATTATTTAAGGTTATTTAAGACGTTTTTGTACAAAAAATACTTTAAATAATTTTTTTATATTTTAGGATTTATGGTTAATATTTTTATAAAGGGATAATTTAAGGCTATTATGTACATAAAATACCTTAAATAATTTTTTTTTATTTTTACAAATAAATTATTTATGACGTACAAAAATACCTTAAATAATCCCTTTAAGTTTTTAAATGAGACTATTTAAGGCATATTTAAACTAAAAACACCTTAAATAATCTCTTTCATTTTTTTAAAAGGAATTATTTAAGGTGTTTTTTGTTCAAAAATACTTTAAATAATGCTTTTTAACAAATATATCAACATTATTTAAGGTATTTTTAGACAAAAAAGGCTTTATATAATACCACAAATTTTTTTAAAAGGTATTATTTAAGGTATTTTTGATCCAAAAAAATTAAAAATGCCTTAAATAATCCTTTGATATTTTTTTAACAAGAATTATTTAAAGTGTTTTTAAT